AAAAAAAAAAAAAAAAAAAAAAAAAAAAAAAAAAAAAAAAAAAAAAAAAAAACAGGGATGCAATTTACGAAAACACAGAGCTAGGGCCTCGTTGCACTACTCTCGACATGCACAAAAGACAAAAATCAGGGCCTTGTATGTTTCCGTAATCTAGTGGAAGATTCAATCTCGTTTTGCACATTTTGAGAGTAGTGCAGCGAGGCCCCTATGTACACCGATTTACAAAATGGTACCCCTCACAAAAGACAGCCTACCAGACTCAGCAGTCGCAAGACTGAGGGTTCTTCTTCGTCTTCTTCTTCTTCTTCTTTTTTGTTTACGGCTGTGGGATTGAACCCACGCCCTTTCGGACGGCAGGTTCTTGCAAACAAACACCAACAAAGGATATTTTGAATGCCAAAAGCGGTGGCATTGGCCGGCATCAAGTCGAGCCCTGCTCAGTTTACCGACGCAGCAGATGCTGCAAAGTTGTGCAAACCCAAAAATTTTTAAGGGCGTGTACTGAGGAGGGCTTGCTTGAACCGACGCCCTACTCAGTACCAATGCAGCAGAAACCTGCAAAGCTAAAAATAAAGCATGCAGGCCCTAAGAAGTGTGGCATGCAAATCAGCCCGGTGGAGCTGTGATGGGTGGTATTTTAGGACAAAACTCTTGAATGTGTTTTTTATAGGCCCTTGTGTTCCCCGAGTACTTCTTCCCACACCCATGAATGCACACCCACTCGTCTGACGGAGGATGGCGAGTCTTGTGCGGCGTGGAATTACCCTTTGCCTTGATTGCCTGTTCTTGGCTGCCTGCAATTTCTCCCTTGCTGTTTCCATTCTTCCCTCCGCAATTCTGCACCTCTTCCGCGTCCCTGGAAGTTCTTTCCTCAGTGGCTGCATCGGCAGCCTCCGGGGCCACAGTGCTCTTTGTCGGCTCGACACTTACCGATACCTTTGCCTGCGTTGGCTCAACTGTGGATGGGGTTGCTGCCGGTATCGTCTCAGCAGCTCGGGGTGCAGGCAGCGGCACAGTCTCCACCATCCCTGGCGCCGGCACAGCTTCTTCTGCAGCATCATTCTCTTTTGTCGCTTCCTCTTCCAGAGGCTTCTTTCCCTTTCGCTGCTTGTTTTCCGACTTGATATCAGACGGCTTCTTCCCTTTCGCCACTTCCTCGTCTGGCGGCTTCTTTTCCTTTCGCTGCCTTTTTATTGGCTTATCATCCAAAGGCTTGTCCTCTTTTGTCGCTTTCTCTACCGGAGGCGCCTTCTCCTTTTTCTGCTTCTTTGCGGGCTTATCGACTGAAGGCTTGTCCTCAGCCGCCCTCTTTGTTCCCTTCTTTCTTCCAGCTGGCGCAGACATTGCATTGTCCTCCGATGGCTTGCTCTCATCGGCAGCGGATTTCTTTACCGTTGCCTGCTTCCCTTGCGCCTTCTTGGCTGTAGGCTTCGGTGTGCAATTGCAAGGACTGTTCCGCATACCCTTGCTATCGCCATTGGTCCCATCACACCCATCTGCACATATCCAACACAACAGCACACATCGAATACAAAATAAGATAGCGAAATAAGCGAAGAAGATATCTACGACAAGAAGATAGATAATTGCCACAGTACAAGTTCTTAACCGCTGCCTGCTCTTCCGTTGCGCCTTCTTCGTTCCAGGCGTCTGTGTACGGTCGCAAGAAGGTTTGTTCAGCATTACCTTGTGTGGGTAGGGCATCACATCAACTACCACAAGCATGCTCTTCATTGTCAGCAGCATAAATCTGTGTGTGTAGCTTTTCCTTCTGCCACACGATACACTCGTGAATGTGTGCACCGTCGGACCATGTCGGTTACTCCCTCATCCCAGTGAATTATATATATCGTCACAAACAGAACTGCCCGGTAAACTGTAGGCAGAGAGAGAGAAGAGGACAACAAACGAGGGGCTGTGACAAACTGTTTCGTCGGAGTTTCACCGACTCATCAGGAGGCTGAACCCTATATATATATATATATATAGTCCCTCGTTTGTTGTCCT